TGGCTGGCATTCTGCGCCTACTGCCCCTCCGACCACCACCTCAAACAATCCATTCACACGCATTCACACCAGGCAAGGTGGGTGAAGTGTCTTGCCCACGGAATCAAACCGCCGACCTTCCGATCACTGACCGACCCGCTCTACCACCTGAGCCACAGCCGCCCGTCTGTACATACCACTCTGCCTTTCCCACTTGTTCATTCTTGCTTCTCGTGTCCCACCCACCCTCCTTGTACGTCTGCCTCCACTTTCTGTCTTCTCCCTTTCCTAGGGGTCCACCAGCCCAGGAGCCACTGCTGATCCCCGACTAAACTTTTCCCCACACCACATCAGTTCAGCTCAGCTCAGTCATCACCAACATAACGCTCATTTGGATCCAATAAGCAATCAAGCTTCAAATTGATGGTATGGTCCTAGCTAGTGAGGTAACCAAATATACATTTTGTTTGATTGACAGGTAATCATATGTCTTCCCTGCAGCCACATTCAGATGTGTATGTATATATAGGATATGATGCTTATATAAGGTGCAATCAAAAAATTCCAAGACTTCACCTATAAAACATTTAAAAAACTGTGGTTTGAATTCAGCTGCCTTCCCCATCAAAGTAGCCTCCTTGTGCAGCAATACAGTGCTCTCAGTACTACTGGAACATTTGTAATACTTCCTGAGGGTTGTACTACATATGGAGCCTAAAGTCAAAGTTTTCTATGTCATAAAAGTGGTTCTCTTTTAACCAACTAGATCACGGTGGTAACTACAGGTAACACAGCCAACATGCTCTGGAGGAGGTTCTATTCAGATTTAAATCTACTGTAAGGAGCATTTCACCAATTCCTTTCCAAACGATTCTCTATGAGCAATACAGATTTAAAGGTGAGTAGTTGAAACTAGAAGCTTACACACACTGTATAAAAAGACAAAATCTTTTTTCCCTCACTGTCTGCCATTAAATCAGACTAAACTTTTCAAGTTTTAGGTCAGTTAGGATTACCAAAATTGTTTCTATTTGCTAAATGCCAGAATAATGAGAGAGAATTTTTCACTACTTTCTTCAAAGTCAGAAGTTTACATACATTTCCTTAGTATTTGGTAGCGTTGCCTTTAAACTGCATGACTTGGGTCAAATGATTTGGGTTTCCTTCCACAAGCTTCTCACAAGCGTTTGATGAATTCTGTCCCATTCCTCCTGACAGAACTGGTAGAAAGGAGTAAGGCTTGTTGGCCACCTTGCTCCACACGTCTTTTCAGTTCTGCCTACAAATGTTCTACAGGATTGAGATCAGGGCATGTGTCGTGTTGTCAATCAGATGTTCCCTAAACGCCTCACATGCTGCTACGGTAGATGCTACCAGGTGTCTGCAGTGCAGCTCCTCTGACAGGTGAGTGACCAAACATTAGTAGAAGAATAACAGTGGAAAGTGCGTTCTACACAAATTTGGTCAAGTTGAAAGGTTTTCTATTAGCAGCGTTTTTTTGGGGGGGGATTTGTAAACAGACTTTCTACGAGCAGAGCACATTATAAATGTCCATACCACTGGTCATCGTGTCTATATAGTCAGAATTGTGACTGCTGTTAAAAGTTGAACCTTCAGATTGAATGTTGGGCTACTTTTTCTTCCTAACTGACTCAGTCGCGATCTCTCTGCCTCCACCTGAACACTTTCATCATCAGGTGTATCGGACCTCTCCCTCTCCTCCTCTCCTCCTCTCACTTCGCTGTTTTAATCGGTTATATATCATTTTATCATTGGAACACGGTAACAGTGAAACTGACTGTTTCATCTGTCAGACAGAAAGAGATTGAGTCAATGGGGAAGACATATTACCATTTACAACCACAGTATCTTGTGCAGTAGCTACCTGTTCTGACTGAAGAAACAAGATCAGCCTCCACTGAACTATATCATAACTAACAAAACTAGTGATTTTCTCACCAAGCAAAACCTGCAACACAGAAACATGTTGTGTTGTGTGTTCGTCTGTGCATTCAGTGTCAGAGATACAGAGCAGAACCTGAAGCTTAACTCGGGTTTGTTCACTAAACACACAGCAGCCTCCCACCACAACAACACGCAGCAGAACATCAGTTTGGTTTGATAAAATGCATCAGAACAAACTGAGGCCACGTTGAATGTTTTCAGTTTGCAACGTTTATGGATTGCGATATACTGAAGGGGTTAATGTTAATATTTTCTCATATTTAATACAGCAACAGTCTGTCTTGTCTGCATGTATTCGAAAATCAAACACAATGACATTGTTCTGACCTGACACATTTCTCTTTAATTTTTTTTAACCACACAAATAGATTCAAGCTGCATCGCATCAAATCGCATCACATCGTAATGTATTAAAATGTTCCATAAGTGAATCGTATCATAACCCATGTACCTAGATTCGTATCGGATCGCCTCTTAAGGTAGAGATGCACACCCCTACTTTTATGGGCCTTAGTGGACAATGACAGTGATAGAATAGAAAAAGATAAACATGAGGGAGAAGAACAGCTGATATAAGAGCAGGAGATAAACAACTGATCCCAATCAGTCGATCTCACAGTAAACAGCAGAGCATCATAGTATCATATGACACTCAAATGCCATCACTCCCACTTCTGTTGTGCATATTTAAGTAATCATTATTATTGAAGAGGCCTAGCTATATATTACAGGTTCTGTGCTACCACACATTGTTTTTATATCACTTCTAATGTATAGATCCAGTAATAATGATGCTTTTTAGTGAAGTAGTATTGGTGAAGTTGGTGAAAAGAGATGCTTATTATGTCCAACTTAAATCCCAGACTCTGAACAGAACTTTCTGTGGAGCAGGTTAGCTGTGCAGCATAAGGTGTTGTGGTGATTTATCCAAGTTTTAAAAAAAAAAGAGAAATTGTGACATTAGAAACTTTGGCTTCATGCTCAACATACCTCACAAACCTATTAATCCCACTTCAAAGTACACCTGTGTGGTATTTGCAAACATGTTGTTTCATCATCATGTTCATCAACCATAACTGCTTTGCATGCAGCACAGTTATTACCTTACCAATAGCCTGTGTTTACAGCCATAAATACAAAAGAAATCTTCATATTCAATATGATCCACATTTTTTAAAACTTCTTAGGCTTAACAATGCTAACATTACCAAAAGGGAATTGTATGAAACTACGGCTACAGTTTCTCAGTGTTCTGCTCAGTGTACTTCACCCTGATTCTAAAGTCAGGAGTATTAATATAACCTCTGCCTGTTAATTCACTGTTGAGGAGGGACCAGAGAATCTGGCTGATCCAAACTTTCACTTATAAACAGACATAAGCTCAATTGTAGCAGAAAGGACTTGTGAATTTTGGCTGGAAAATTCGCCAGCATCAACATCATCTACTAGCTAATGATGAACTAAGTTTCCCTAACCCCCCATTCAGACATGCACCCTGTTCTGTTCATCTAACAGCAGCTTAACGTGTCGACTTTATGTCTGAATGTGCACCATGGTCATGTTTTAATAAATGTTCCAGCAATCTAAACAGTTTGGACCAAGTAGCATTTCACTTTCAACACAGCACAAGTCTGAATGCTAAAAAATAGGCACAAACAACTGTACTTGGATTTGTGTGAAGTGATTTAGGGAAAGACCTTTCCACATTTCCTCACCAACATTCATCCAAAAACCTCACAGAAAGCCAAAGTAACAATTTGTGTGCCAAAGTCACAACACACCTTTCTCATTCACTTTGCTATACAACTTCCAATTTGTTGGGCAACACAATAAAATGTCCATAATAACAAACCTTTACTGCAATAAAAACAGACACTAACAGCTTAGATCAGTTATGCTCACCAACAATGATGAATGTAATCTGATTACTTCCTTCACATAATGTCAGCAGGAGCTGAAGCTTGTTGCTTCCAGCTGTTTTGAACTATTACCTCTGAGTTTAACAAAAACCGTGAGCATCAGACAGCAGTAGGACTCATATGCATGTAATTGCCCATGGAACAACAGTAACTTTATTAAATTCTTAGAATTATAAATGGTACTAGAGGGAACACGGAGAGTAAATCAGTCCAGGCTACAATCTGACAGCAAGTCAACTGTGTAAGCTTACTGGTCTGCACATCAAACAAGTGAGCTGTATGACAGCTGGATTAGACTGCAGTTGTTAATGTATTACTATAAACGAAGACATCACCTGGGGAATTTTCTAATCTTGTGTGAATGACACATGAATGAATGAATATCACATGCTTACCACTGCACTCTCCAGCACTGTGGGGCACCTCTGCATGAGGCAAGCAGGAACAATCTTGTCTCAATGGGGCTTATTTGATTTGGTGTGCAGCATAAGTGAAAATAGAATGTAACATGACTGGAAAAAGTGGCAAAATTAGCATTGGAATTTGTTTTGATGCAAAATATAAATGTAAATGTATTATTTGAATTGTAACAATACAATAATGTTCTCAGTAATTGTATTTATTCTCATTGCTATGCCATCACATTTTACGTGATGGTTGGTTAATAAAAATCTAGGACACCATTGCAGGAGTTGCTGTCTGTAACTGTTGGCAACCCAACACGAAATGGAGATCAGTGCTGGATTTGAATGATCTTGGATTCACCTGCCTGCCTGACAACAACATCTGGGGGAAAAAAACATGCATGTGCACACAGATGCAAGCACACACGCTCATCACACACAACATCTCCAGAAAAACGTTCGCGCATATATGCACAAATAGAAAAGATGACCATGTTGACACAATAAGAACACTGCAGCAGCCCCCGTACAGTCAAAAGGCCGCTCTTACTGACAGCAATATAAGGAGGACAGCCAGAGATGAGAGGGCCACGGTAGAAAAAGGGAGACAAGGGGACGATGAACGAGAAATGGACGGGGGGATGTACAGAAGAATACTTTAAATACACGGAGGAATGGGATCGATAGGCTACAGATGTGAACGATAAGACGACGACAGAAATAACAATCCTACCAATCTGGACGCTCGGAGATCCGCACATCGCCTCGCACCAGAGGAGTGTCACCACAAATAGCAGCTTCATGATCGTATTCGGGCTCCTCACGCGACGCCACAACAGCCTACGGTAGCGGTTCCTACCAGAACATCTCCTCCATCACACACGGTGAGAGCTCATGGCGTCATTCCAGGGTTGCTGAGAAGCGTCTCGAGCTCTGCAGATGCCCTATCGTGTCTCCTAAGATGCGCGTGCCGCAGCTGCCGCTGGACCTGGGAGCGCGCGCCTTGGATTGCCTAGAAATGGCGATAAAGCACGAGAGAGAACCGAGAGCAGCCGACAGCGAAATGTAAAGCAGCGGCTACGGGACCAAAGTAAGGTAATGCGAGACTGCAGTTAGCCAGCAGAAGTGCTGCACGAGAGATAGGAAAAGGTGTACTGCAGGGTTAACACGTACTTTACTGTTCTGTGTGATATTTATACAGGGACGAAATTTACCCGAATATCACTGTTTAAACAGACTGCAAGCCATGATTCTGTACCCTACTGTGACTCACACAATGAATGATGTAGTATGACACTGGACTTTTGTAAGGTGTTGTGTGTGTTGTGTATGTATGTATGTATGTATGTATGTATATGTATATGTATGTATGTATGTATGTTCTGTGTTTTTCTGTGTATCCTCTACACAGTCTGTGAGTTTGTGGTGCTTGTAAATATTTGATCTAAGTTTTCTATATCACTCATTTTATTATTATTTTGATTATTATTATTATTATTATTTACATGCCAACAAGGTGAACATCTCATTTGCATAAAATGTTTTAACACCTAAGGTGGTACATCAGATCCAATAAAAACAATGTGCGGACGATTTCACATTTTTTTTACCTTCCACACCTAATCTAGCAATTTTATGAATGTAAGCAACATCCTTTAACCCCTGTACTATTTATATTTCATTGCTAATTAACCGGACTTGCCTTAATGTAATTTAGTCATATATGCAAACATATGAAGAAAAGATCTACATTCAAACACAAGAATCCAAAATAGCCTAATCATTTGAAAAGTGTATTCATTTATTTTCTGTATCGAAACTGACACAATGTAAAAAAAAAGAAGAAAGAAACAAATGTAAATATGATGTAAGTATAATAATCCAATTTAGACCTTCTTTTTTTATGTAAATGAGCTTGTCACTACAAGAACTATTCTGCAGCTGTCATAGAGCCATATAAAGTTCATGCAAATGACCCTGAATTGTGTCACTTTGGTTCAGTCACATTGTCTTGTTTTGGAATTGGACTCTACTGTGTATCTGGACAGAAATGAATAGGGTACATGTTGTATATCAAAGAGTATCTTAATTGTTACACTTTCAAATTAAACG